ATGTATGTTATTTTTTATTTCAATTTAAAGCGCTATATTCCCCTAGGGACACTTACACTGTCATACATGTATGTCTTTATATTTGTCTAAACATATATATACAATACTTTTAGGCCGTGAATAGAATAGTCATATGATATTAACAATGAGAAAGAGAGAAAAAAAACAAGAAAAAAGAACTGTGTACAAAAGAAATAAGTGTCTGGCAATATGTACAATAAGCATAATATAAATTATCAGTAAAATTTTACACACATAAATTTACTGGCAATGCGTTTCTTTTAAATATCATCAAATATTATCTCTACAGACCTTACTGCAATGATATGAGTTATTGAATGAGAGGGCTTGGCTCATCAGTAGTGAACCCTCTCAGCGGTTTCGCCGAGAGGGTTCACCATTGATGAGCCAAGCCCTCTCATTCAATAACTCATATCATATCAGTATGGTCTGTAGAGATAATATTTGATGATATTTAAAAGAAACGCATTGCCAGTAAATTTATTTATGTAAAATTTTAACGATAGATGGCAATAAAATTTAATTTACTAAATTATAAGTATACAAATGTACGTTTATTCAAATGTATATATAAATATAAGGCCATAACGTGACATATATACATAAGAAATGGAAGAATTAAAACACAAATGTTTCTTTTAAACATAAAACAAACTTCTACTGTCCTTACTACAATGAAAAACATTGGGTGGGCTTGACCCATCAGTGGTGAACCACTCCCAGCAGTTACGACAATTTAATTTACCAGAACACTTCTTAGAGATCTAATACTGTATTGGACAATTCTGCCTATATATGCTACACTGAAGGGTGGAATCATTTGCAAAACGGTTTTTAATTAACATCCTGACAATCTTTTTAAACTTTCTTTGATCAATGCACCTTCATTTGGTTCCTCATGAAGATAAAATTCTCTAATAATTTCTTTAAACTTTCAATTCTCTCTATTCGTATTGCTTTTGTATCATTTTGAATTTATTTATGGTTCAAATAAAATATATAATGAAAATGATTCTCCATCACTCAATATGGTAAGGTGAATATAATGTAAACATAATGTGAGGATTTCAAAGTTGGTGTTTTGTAATCCAATAGAAAATAATTTATATTAACTAGTGGACATGGCATCTGCCCGGTAAGCGAAACACTGTGGGTTCGATTCCCATCCCTGGAAATTTTATTTTTCTGTTTATCATTACTCTTCACAATTCATCCTTTCATACTTCATCCCTAAGGTTATAAATAATCGTTATTTCTCCTTGAAATAAATTTCGATTTTTCGTTTAAAAGAAACACATGCGGGATAATTTTCAAATGTCGTTTTACAATCATAAGCCGCATTATATTAAATTAAAATATTTGATTATATTGAAAAAACTTAAACTTTTTAATTGTAATTTTATCATTTTGAATAAAGCACGATATCACCCACACATACACACATACAGCTTTATTAAGACCACCAGTCTTATACAGATTCACAACAGGAAGCAAGCATAGATAGAGCTTCTATACTCCAGGTAGCGCAGAGCCCAACAGCCTCCAGGTCCGACACATGTCCAGTGGCCACAGAATCCACCGTGCATAGGTTAGTGCATCACTGAAAAGGCGAGTGTGAAATCAACGACGTTCTAGTTTTCGCTTTCCTCATCCAAATGGACCACGGCATTCGGCGATTCTATTCATCTCCTCCGAACGGTGAATGCGGTCTTATAGAAGAACGTTATCTCTTTCAAGACACTGAAAAATTCCAAAATATGGAATAAATGATGAGACTACTCAATATGTATTTTTAACGTACTTTACACAAATACAGTACCAGATAGATACTAACAACTATGGAGTCAATCTTTCATTTTGGTTGTTCATTTATTTGATAGGAGGGAAATTGGTATTTTTGTTTTAATTATTTTAATACAGTAGAACCTCCCTTTAGCGATCATCCCCCTAAAGCGGACACCTCTCTACAAAGGACAATTTTCATTTGTAAAATTACCATTTTTAATATTTATCAAATCTGCGGTAAGAGGACAACTCTCCCTAAAGGATATTTTGGCTCTGCAATTAGGTGTCTTTTACATGGAGGTTTTACTGTATATATAAATCGTTTTTAATTATATATACAGTAGAACCTCCCTTTAGCGGACACCTCTCTACAAAGGACAGTTTTCATTTGCAAAATTATCATTTTTACTATTTAGCAACTCTCCAGTAAGAGGACATCTCTCCCTAAAGAACACTTGTCTCTGCAATTGGGTGTCCTTTACAGGAAGGTAGTTCTACTGTACCATTTTTTTTAAGATAAAAGAGTATACAATTATACAGTATATTTAAAATAGTTTTATACATAGAGTTATATTGTACCGAAGAAATCAAGTATTTGTATATCTTAAGATGTCAAAGTATTTATTGATGACGTCAGTACGACAAGTCGACCATTATCAACAAACCAACCCAACTATCTACAGCTAGAGAATATTGAACAACCAAGCTAAGGAACATTTATGGTGGTTTTACAAATACAAAGTGATATTCTGTTTTAAATATTTTCTTTGAATAATTAAATAAAATAATAAAATATAAATAATTCTGAATATAAAGCAATCCATATTCAAATATTTAGATAATAAAAATACATATATTTGATTGAATAAAAGATTTATTTGCCAATATTTCGGTTGGTTGAATGCCAACCTTTATCAAGGCATTACATTTTTTAATAAACAAACTCAGCGCCGTATATTTCAACGGTAATATAATATCTATCTGGTACTGTATTTGTGTAAAGTACGTTAAAAATAGATATTGAGTAGTCTCATCATTTATTCCATATTTTGGAATTATTCCGTGTTTTAAAAGAGATATCGTGCTTCTACAAGAACACAATCACCGTTCGGAGGAGATTAATAGAATCGCTGAATGTCGTGGTCCATTTGGATGAGGAAAGCGAAAACTAGAGCGTCGTTGATTTCACACTCGCCTTTTCAGTGATTCGCTAACCTAGGCACGGTGGATTCTGTGACCACTGGACATGTGTCGGACCTGGAGGCTGTTGTTGGGCTCTGCGCTGCCTGGAGTATAGGAGCTCCATCTATGCTTCCTTCCTGTGGTGAATCTGTATAAGACCAGTGGTCTTAATAAAGCTGTGTTTGTGATATCGTGTTTTATTAAAAATTATAAAATTACAATTAGAATTAACACTATGCGGCGCTGAGTTTGTTTATACAAAAATGTAATGACTTGACAAGTTGGTGTTCAGCCAACCGAAATATTGGCAAATAAATATTTTATTCATTTCAATATATGCCTTTTTATTATCTAAAGATTTAAATTATTTGTTCGCTACAATATAATCAAGAAATGAAACTATTGAAGGACGGATTTTTATTCAAATAAAAAACCAAATGGATACGATATACGCAAAACAGACTATTCCAATCGGATAGCACACTATCTACTATCACACTATCTATATTCAGAAATATAATTATATGTAATTCTGCTGTCCTAAAAGCTTATGTCCATAGTTCATCTAAAATACCCAATCGAAGAGTCAAACATCAGTATCACTATAAAAGGAAGTTCCATAAATGCAATATAACAGCGGTATGGTAGATTAAACTGGCGAAACCGCTGGGAGGGTTCACCACTGATGAGCCAGGCCCTCCCTTTAATTTTTCCATTGCAGTAAGGGCAGTAGAAATTGTTTTATTTTAAAAATAATATTACGCGTCTAAAATAGTTTCGTAATTTGATATTCAGAAATGTCGACTATTCAAAGCGCGCGTGCTTTAAAAATAACCTCTATCATTGGTAGAATAAAATGGCGAAACCGGTGATAAGGTTCATCATTGATCAGCCAGACCCTCTCAATATATATTCTCAACCCTATGTTTAGTGTTATATAGTACACTAGACGGGTGACCCGGGCTTCGCCCCGGGATTGACCCGTGTGCATATCTACCCGAGTGATATATATTTAGATAAGATTTTTTTTAAATAATTGTTTGTTATTAGCATTATCTATTTGTTTGCATCAGAATAATTTAATCTAATCTTTGATAGATGGCGCTGTTCGTGAGCTAAGTAGAATAATTTAAATATATAGTTTTAATAATTGATTTATATATTTTTTAAAATAGCCTATCGTCTTCCCCGTATTATTTTACCTATGTATGGAAATTTTGGTTTGAATTAGTGAACTACTGCGAATTTGTATACCGGACATACAAACAAACATACATACAAACATTGATTTTTATATTTATATAGATATAGATATTATACATATATATACATGGGAGTCGGTGGATGGATGGTCTAAACCGTTGGTTTTCAACCGCTACGACCTGGGATCGAATCCTGATTTGGGCATTTTTTTTCTAATTAAAAATAATATTCCAAAGCCGCCGATTCTTGCAAAGGTCTAACCTCACCAGAGAGTGAAAGTAACTAAAAGGGATCTGGCACATTTGTAAGTGCTAAGTCGAACTGTGTGTAGACATGTGGTGCACTTACAGTAAAAGCAGTCGCCTACTTCTAACCACCATGATTATCATGGCCTGTACAACGTGTAATAGGCATAATAATATACATATATATACACTCATTGGACAAATTTTAAGTAATATTCACCTTTTAACATGTATATCGGGATCCAGATAATAACTCTGAAAGATATTACATTGACCTTTATTGAAGACACACGAGATAACTAAGTGTGTACAAAATTGACTCTATCTCTTTAAAAAAAAACAGAAGACCAATATTAAAAACAATAACCGATATCAAAGACTTTCCACTTTCTTAAGTATTGTCCATGAGTATAAGCGTTAATAATATTGTGGTGAAGATATAATTTATTATTTAATTTAATTATTCAATGAGAATATTTGGAAACAGATTTAATATTTTACATTTGCTAAATCATTATTTAGTTGCCTAGCTTTCTCTTGCTCGATATTCTCTAGCTGTAGATAGTTTGGTTGAGTGGTTGATAATTGTCGACAGGAGTTCAGTGGAAGGCTGGTTAAACCGTTTGGTTTTCGACCACTACGACCCGGGTTCGATTCCCGCATTGGACACTTTTTTCTGTTTAAAAAATAAATGCTCCAATGGCCACCGATTCTTGCAAGTCCAACCCCACCAGCGAGTGTAAGTAACCAAACGGGGATCTGGCACATTTGTAAGTGCAAAGTCGAACTGCTTTTCACATGTGTAGACATGTGGTGCACTTACAGTAAAAGCAGTCGCCAACTTCTACCCACCATGATTATCATGGCCTGTACCACGTGTACTAGGGATAAACAAAAAAAATAATAATAATAATTGTCGACTAGTCGCCGTGACGTCATCAATAAATACTTTCACATCTTCAGATATACAAAGACTTGATTTCTACGCTACAATATCATACCTCACAATTTGAAATATAGATGGCGCTAATTGCGAATTGTAAATTATGAACACAATCTGTGACTTGGATGTATTTATTTAATGTCTTAAAAGACCGTATATTCAAACTCCGGATTGTATGGACATTGTCAAAGGTCCGGACTTTGAATGAAATCTCAGGAAACCCTCCAGCGAACTTTCCCCGGAGACTTCCGCGGCGAGGGTACCGACCCACTTGCCGCCTGCCGCGACGTGACCTCTCTCGTTACTATGCCACCTTTGCATACTTCCCCCATTGGAACCCGGTGTACAGACCCCAGCATGGTTCTCTAGCAAGTCTTCTTCTTTCTTATCTTGAAACATGCTATAGACCATGATAATCATGGCGAGTTATTAGCGACTGCTTTTACTATAAGCACACTACAAGTATTCTTCTTTCTTATCTTGAAACATGGTATAGACCATGATAATCATGGTCAGTTATTAGTGACTGCTTTTACTATAAGCACACTACAAGTATTCTTCTTTCTTATCTTGAAACATGCTATAGACAATGATAATCATGGTCAGTTATTAGTGACTGCTTTTACTATAAGCACACTACAAGTATTCTTCTTTCTTATCTTGAAACATGGTATAGACCATGATAATCATGGTCAGTTATTAGTGACTGCTTTTACTATAAGCACACTACAAGTATTCTTCTTTCTTATCTTGAAACATGGTATAGACCATGATAATCATGGTCAGTTATTAGTGACTGCTTTTACTATAAGCACACTACAAGTATTCTTCTTTCTTATCTTGAAACATGGTATAGACCATGATAATCATGGTGAGTTATTAGTGACTGCTTTTACTATAAGCACACTACAAGTATTCTTCTTTCTTATCTTGAAACATGGTATAGACCATGATAATCATGGTCAGTTATTAGTGACTGCTTTTACTATAAGCACACTACAAGTATTCTTCTTTCTTATCTTGAAACATGCTATAGACCATGATAATCATGGTCAGTTATTAGTGACTGCTTTTACTATAAGCACACTACAAGTATTCTTCTTTCTTATCTTGAAACATGCTATAGACCATGATAATCATGGTTAGTTATTAGTGACTGCTTTTACTATAAGCACACTACAAGTATTCTTCTTTCTTATCTTGAAACATGGTATAGACCATGATAATCATGGCGAGTTATTAGCGACTGCTTTTACTATAAGCACACTACAAGTATTCTTCTTTCTTATCTTGAAACATGCTATAGACCATGATAATCATGGTCAGTTATTAGTGACTGCTTTTACTATAAGCACACTACAAGTATTCTTCTTTCTTATCTTGAAACATGCTATAGACCATGATAATCATGGTTAGTTATTAGTGACTGCTTTTACTATAAGCACACTACAAGTATTCTTCTTTCTTATCTTGAAACATGGTATAGACCATGATAATCATGGTTAGTTATTAGTGACTGCTTTTACTATAAGCACACTACAAGTATTCTTCTTTCTTATCTTGAAACATGGTATAGACCATGATAATCATGGTTAGTTATTAGTGACTGCTTTTACTATAAGCACACTACAAGTATTCTTCTTTCTTATCTTGAAACATGGTATAGACCATGATAATCATGGTCAGTTATTAGTGACTGCTTTTACTATAAGCACACTACAAGTATTCTTCTTTCTTATCTTGAAACATGCTATAGACCATGATAATCATGGTTAGTTATTAGTGACTGCTTTTACTATAAGCACACTACAAGTATTCTTCTTTCTTATCTTGAAACATGCTATAGACCATGATAATCATGGTTAGTTATTAGTGACTGCTTTTACTATAAGCACACTACAAGTATTCTTCTTTCTTATCTTGAAACATGGTATAGACCATGATAATCATGGTTAGTTATTAGTGACTGCTTTTACTATAAGCACACTACAAGTATTCTTCTTTCTTATCTTGAAACATGGTATAGACCATGATAATCATGGTTAGTTATTAGTGACTGCTTTTACTATAAGCACACTACAAGTATTCTTCTTTCTTATCTTGAAACATGGTATAGACCATGATAATCATGGTCAGTTATTAGTGACTGCTTTTACTATAAGCACACTACAAGTATTCTTCTTTCTTATCTTGAAACATGCTATAGACCATGATAATCATGGTTAGTTATTAGTGACTGCTTTTACTATAAGCACACTACAAGTATTCTTCTTTCTTATCTTGAAACATGGTATAGACCATGATAATCATGGTTAGTTATTAGTGACTGCTTTTACTATAAGCACACTACAAGTATTCTTCTTTCTTATCTTGAAACATGGTATAGACCATGATAATCATGGTCAGTTATTAGTGACTGCTTTTACTATAAGCACACTACAAGTATTCTTCTTTCTTATCTTGAAACATGGTATAGACCATGATAATCATGGTTAGTTATTAGTGACTGCTTTTACTATAAGCACACTACAAGTATTCTTCTTTCTTATCTTGAAACATGGTATAGACCATGATAATCATGGCGAGTTATTAGCGACTGCTTTTACTATAAGCACACTACAAGTATTCTTCTTTCTTATCTTGAAACATGCTATAGACCATGATAATCATGGTTAGTTATTAGTGACTGCTTTTACTATAAGCACACTACAAGTATTCTTCTTTCTTATCTTGAAACATGGTATAGACCATGATAATCATGGTGAGTTATTAGTGACTGCTTTTACTATAAGCACACTACAAGTATTCTTCTTTCTTATCTTGAAACATGCTATAGACCATGATAATCATGGTTAGTTATTAGTGACTGCTTTTACTATAAGCACACTACAGGTATTCTTCTTTCTTATCTTGAAACATGGTATAGACCATGATAATCATGGTCAGTTATTAGTGACTGCTTTTACTATAAGCACACTACAAGTATTCTTCTTTCTTATCTTGAAACATGCTATAGACCATGATAATCATGGTTAGTTATTAGTGACTGCTTTTACTATAAGCACACTACAAGTATTCTTCTTTCTTATCTTGAAACATGCTATAGACCATGATAATCATGGTCAGTTATTAGTGACTACTTTTACTATAAGCACACTACAAGTATTCTTCTTTCTTATCTTAAAACATGGTATAGACCATGATAATCATGGCGAGTTATTAGCGACTACTTTTACTATAAGCACACTACAAGTATTCTTCTTTCTTATCTTGAAACATGCTATAGACCATGATAATCATGGTCAGTTATTAGCGACTACTTTTACTATAAGCACACTACAAGTATTCTTCTTTCTTATCTTGAAACATGGTATAGACCATGATAATCATGGCGAGTTATTAGCGACTGCTTTTACTATAAGCACACTACAAGTATTCTTCTTTCTTATCTTGAAACATGGTATAGACCATGATAATCATGGTGAGTTATTAGTGACTGCTTTTACTATAAGCACACTACAAGTATTCTTCTTTCTTATCTTGAAACATGCTATAGACCATGATAATCATGGTTAGTTATTAGTGACTGCTTTTACTATAAGCACACTACAAGTATTCTTCTTTCTTATCTTAAAACATGGTATAGACCATGATAATCATGGCGAGTTATTAGCGACTACTTTTACTATAAGCACACTACAAGTATTCTTCTTTCTTATCTTGAAACATGCTATAGACAATGATAATCATGGTCAGTTATTAGTGACTGCTTTTACTATAAGCACACTACAAGTATTCTTCTTTCTTATCTTAAAACATGGTATAGACCATGATAATCATGGCGAGTTATTAGCGACTACTTTTACTATAAGCACACTACAAGTATTCTTCTTTCTTATCTTGAAACATGGTATAGACCATGATAATCATGGTGAGTTATTAGTGACTGCTTTTACTATAAGCACACTACAAGTATTCTTCTTTCTTATCTTGAAACATGGTATAGACCATGATATTCATGGTCAGTTATTAGCGACTATTTTTACTGTAAGCACACTACTATAAGCATTCCTGAAATTTCCCAAATGCGATTCCCAACCAGCCAGTCCTGAACATCTATTGAATTGTATCAAATCCTCCAAAAAAGACCTCTGGGAAAACCCCAGGACTATAATAGAAAAGCTGAGACAATGGAACCTAATGGAGATCGTTTAAACGACTTCAGGAATAAGAAACAACTATCAGCACTACACTCATAGACAAAACTTAATGAGGTGAAAAGTCTTTGATGTCGTCGGTCGTCTATTTATTATTATTTTTAGGAGATAGAGACAATTTTGTTCAAATTTGGTTATCTCGTGTGTCTTCAATAAAGGTCACTGTAATATCTTTCAAATTTATTATCTGAATACCGATATACATGGTAAAAGGTACAACTTCCATAAGTTTTGTCCATGAGTGTATACTAAATTTTTCTAATTATCCCTAATACACGTGGCACAGGCCATGATAATCATGGTGGGTAGTTAGCCACTGCTTTTACTGTAAGTACACCATAACATGTCTACTCATGTAAAAAGCAGTTCAACTTTGCACTTACAACTCTGCCAGAGCCCCGTTTGGTTACTTACACTCGTTGGTGGTGTTGGACTTTTGAAAGAATCGGAGGCAATTGGAGCATTTTAAATTATAAAAAAGTGTCCATTGCGGGAATCGATCCCGGGTC